TCGAGTGCACATCTAGGTACAGCAGATCTTTTAAGTTCCCGAGGCTGGCAGGCATGGTGGAATTTAATATGTTGGAGCTCAAATAAAGCTTTCTCAGAGAAGTCATATTTCCAAAGCAATCTGGAAGTTGACCCGAGAATTTATTTTCACTCAAGTTTAACAGAGTTAAACTCCTGAACTTGCAAAGATAAGGTGGAAGGGACCCTAAAATCCTATTATTTTGAAGTTCTAACGCTTCAAGGTTCGATAATCCTTCGAATGCCAATGGAAATTGCCCGGTGAGGTAATTGCTGCTAAGATCCAGTTCCACCAGCCCACTCAGATTACCAATTTCAGGTGGAATGCTACCCTCTAGTTCACAAGTACTAGTTATGAACTTTTCAAGAGAATTGGAAAAATTGGCTATGGTATGGGGAAGAATACCTTTTATAGGATTATGTGACAATATCATAACTCTTAAACTTTCACAATTCACCAAAGATGAGATAATGCTCATCTCTTGTAGGTACCCTGTGGTTAATTGGTTGGATCCAACATTAAGAGTTTCAAGGACATTCAAGCTGCCGAGTGATCTAGGAATTGAACCAGTGAAATGGTTGAGGCTGAGTTCCAAAATAACTAGCTTAGTCATATTTGAGATGGAATCAGGAATTACTCCAGTTAAATGATTATGTGCAACATTTAGTGTTTCTAGATTAGGTAGAATATGGCCGATACTAGGTGGAAGACTTCCTGAAAGGTTATTCAGAGTCAATCTAATGTATGTCATGGCTGAGATGTTGTACACGGTTAGTGGAATTTGTCCATGCAAGGCATTACTATTCAAGTCTAATATATTCATTTTCTGAAGATTGCCAGTTTCTTCCGGTATTGGACCTGCCAAAAATTCAGAATGCACAGAAACATGCTTTAGAATGATGGATGTTGCAGCCAGACTGATTAAGTTTTAATGATAACGCTGAGACCTTTTGGGGCGATTGGTCATTTGGTCGAACCAAACTCCCAAGTAGGATAATTAGGCAAAGTCTGATTGTTTAGACCTATACCCGGAATTGTGTGGCAATAAAAATTTGGTCTAAATTTGTGGATGATCCATATGAGGTGTTGCAATTTATGCAATTATAATTTCCGAAGCTCCATGCATTAAAGATATATGTTTCATATACTGTTGGTGTAAAGATTTTATTAATACCAAAAAGTTTGGATGCATGAAATATGTATAAGAAGAGAATTTGAAATTCGAGTAGAGGTTGTCTGTTATGCATTTCAACATGAATAGTAAAGAAGAACTAATCCTTCGTTCAGTGTTTTTTATTTGAGAAAATAAAAAACAAAAACAAAGATACAGAAGCCAGAATGGAATAGAAATTAAAAGAAGAACCATCTTCCCTTTTTTTTTTAAGGGGCAATTATCAGACTGATTGTTTCTGAAATAGGGGTAAGAGTGGCTAGAAGGCCGATTTCAAGGAACCGCTTGAAAAGATTTACGATCATTATTGGTCAAAATTCGAATTTTGCAAAAAAAAAAAATATTGTGATTACTTTTGCTCTGCTTTGGATCTGTCCCTTACTATTTTTTGTGCATAGGTTGTTTTTGCTTTTGTTATAGCTTCTCATTACTTTTTCATGTAATTTCTAGTTGTGCATAGGTTGTGAACTTCTCTTGACAGTGCTTCATTGATGATCAATAAAAAGAAATGAGCTTACCAAAAAATAAAATAAATTGTACCAAATAAATAAATAAATAGTATGTTTCTTTATTAATAAAAATGATAGCCACATGTACTTGTTATCTTTTTTTTTATCATTATTTAAAACTTTTGCTAGTGATTGTTAGTGTCTTCAAAAGAAAGCCAATGCCCAAGCAGAATTTCCGAATTTAGTATAGTTAAATCACCAAACTTGAAAAACAGAGCGTATTACAATGTCACTTTCTTATAGTTAAATCACCTTTATTGATTTTTTTGGCTGAACAGGATTAATTTCCCAAGATAAATTTCTCTAAAACGTTTAAGGAGTCTTCCAATAGATGTCTAACAGGCACTTGTTAATACACCTAAATTACTGTATAGATATATAGTCACATTTGTTGCACTCCTTAAATTAAATTGTGATACTGTCCCATATATACAAATATTTATTTTCAAGAAACTAATACTTGAGCACCCTCATATCAAGGGTCGAATGGACACCTGTAAACCCAACCCTAGTTAGTTGAATCAATTGTTTTTTATTTAGTACTTTAATCATATACCCTTTTATCATGACAAGATTACTCATATTTACCCCATTCAAACTAATGGCTCACAGACTAGATCATTATGGAGCTTATCATTCTAATATTAGATTACTCATATTTATTGATAAAAATACACATTAAATATGGTTGCTAGTTAAATTCATAAATAGGCTACTCATTTGAAAAGGATATAGATCTATAGTTTGAAATATAGTTATTAAATCCAATCCGACCTAGTAGTTCAACCGGTCAAACCGGTAAACTAGCCACCCAGGGTAGGTTCCTAATCTGATCGTTTGAATAAATGAACCGTTAAAAAGTCAATACCCATTGATTCAACCAGAAGAACCGAAAACCAGCCTGAGTTTTGAGCATTCCAGCTCGCACTTGGAGCAAAATTTGAGACACATGTGCTACTAATACAATTCAAACTTAAGACCTCTCACACAACTTCATGCCCTTTGACTAGTGGCACAAACACTTTTATGTTGTACATTAAAGGCTATAATATCTTATAGGGTAAATTCCACTTTACCCCCCTGTGGTTTAGCATTTTTTTACATAACCCCCCTATGGTTTCAAAAGCTATACATAACCCCCTCATGGTTTGGATTAAAGTGTCAAAGTAACAGAAATAGTCACTCGTAACGGAACTTCTAAAAATGTCGAAATTACCCTTATAAATACATGACACATTAACCCCCTATGATTTTTATATTTTACCATATAACCCCCTTATGGTTTAATACTTTACCATATAACCCCCTTATGCTTTTCAAAATATACACATAACCCCCCTTGGTTAATACATAAATTTCAACCTTACATAAGGGTATTTTTGACATTTTAGGTGACGCCGTTACGAGTGACCATTTCCGTTACTTTGACACTTTAATCCAAACCATGAGGGGGTTATGTATAGCTTTTGAAACCACAGGGGGGTTATGTGAAAAAACGCTAAACCACAGGGGGGTAAAGTGGAGTTTGCCCTATCTTATATTTGATTCCCTTTCCCCAGAGCCTTCAATCTTTCCTTTTTCTTCTCCTTAAACACTCCTCAAATAAGCCTTTTCTCAAATTTTTAGTACTCTTATACATCATCCTAAAAGTAAGGAAATAAATTATCAAATGATATATTACCAAAACCTATTCCACTTAAACACTTCTCAAATAAGCCTTTCCTTGAATCTTTAGTACTCTCATACTTTATCCTAAAACTTAGAAAATAAATTATTGAAATGATATCTTAACATAATTCATCCCTAACATAGTAATTACTCTTATAAAATCTTGTAATTGAGAGCAAAACAAAAAATGCTTAAAAACAAGATATTATACTTTAAAGTTAGTTATGATTCCTAATATCAAAATGATATCTTACCATAGTTCATCCCCAATATAATAATTACTCACATAAAATCTTGTGATTGAGAGCAAAAAACTACATAAAAACAAGATATTATACTTCAAAGTTGGTTTTGATTCCTAATTAAATTTATCTTGTCTCCTGTCGGTTCTTATTATGAAGCATGAATTTTATGTTTATGTTTGAAACAAGTTCAATGTAGCTGATAATTCAAACTTTGAATCTTTAAACATGCAAGATTTAACTGGATTGGTTTTATATTTTTAAGAACTTGAATTCCTGTAATTTAATTTATATATTTATTTATTATATTTTGAGACCCAGCAGTTGAACCACTGAATCACGGTTGAACCACCAACCCACTAAACCATTCCTCTTACAGGGTTCATGACTGGGTTGGTCATAATAAATTTGGTTTGAAAAGAATACGAAAAAAAAAAGTAAACCTTTCTTTACGACATAGAAAAATATAATTTTCTTTGGGACTTGCTCTTATAACTCCCAGTTCCTTCAAATTCTACTAGAAAAACATCAGAACTTACCTGTAAGGTCACATCCGTCAATAACTAACAACTCCAAATTCTGAAGCTTACCAATCTCAGCTGGAATTCCACCTGCAATAGTATTGTGCATAAAAATCAAATCGCCAGTCAATTTCTTTTTTTGCAAAATGATAGGACATCAGTTTTTAAAGGAAAAATTCCACTTTACCCCCTGTGGTTTAACATTTTTCTGCATAATTCCCTTATGGTTTCAAAAACTATACATGACCCCCTCATGGTTTAGATCAAAATGTCAAAGTAACGGAAATGATCATTTTTAACGGAGTCACCTAAATTATCAAAAATACTCTTATATAAAGTTAAAAAATTTTTATTAACCAAGGGGGATTATGTGTATATTTTGAAAACCATAAAGGGGTTATATGATAAAGTATTAAACCATAAGGGATTTATATAGTAAAATATAAAAATTATACGGGATTAATGTGTCATATATTTATAAGGTAATTTCGACATTTTTAGAAGTTCCGTTATAAATGATTATTTCCGTTACTTTGACACTTTAATCAAAACCATGAGGGGATTATGTATAGATTTTGAAACTATAAGGGGATTATGTAAAAAATGCTAAATCACAGGGGAATAAAATATAATTTGCCCTTTTTTAAAACCATTATACGGAGGAAAACGAATAGTCAAATGTAATAGATCCAGTTTCATGAGGACAAAGTGCAAATTACCCTATAAATAAATCATGAAATATGGTTTTAGACTGAAGACAACAAAGGAAAAGTAAAATTACCTGCGAAGTTGTTCTGTCCCAAACTCAAAACCTTCAGCATGGTTAAGTTCCCAATTTCTCTTGGTAGCGTTCCGCTTAAAACATTGCTGCTCAATGACAGTTCTCGAAGTTCCGAGCAATTGTCGAACCGTGACAATATTTGACCTGATAATTTGTTAGATGATAGGTAAAACTCTTGAAGATTTGAAAGCTCAGAGCAAAGGTTCACTGGAAGGTCGCCAGTTAGCGTGTTATTTGTCAAATTAACTATTTGCAAGGACGAGATGTTGAAAAGTGTCAGTGGTATAAACCCTGTAAGCTGGTTATTTGCCATTCTTAAGATCTTCAAGTTGCCAAGATTTCCAATTTCTCGGGGAATATTTCCTTGAACTTGGTTGAACATGATGCTTATGGACTCCAACTTTGATGCATTAAATAGGGAAATCGGAATGCCACCTACGAAGCTGTTACTTGATAAATCCAGGACTCGAAGATTAGGCAGAGAGCCAAACCACGGAGGAACCTCCCCACCAAAATTGTTGTTGGCAAGACTAATATATCTGAGCCTGCGTAAATGTACCATTCCTTCTTCCATGGGCAAATTTCCATGGAAATTGTTGCCACTGAGGTCAATGGAACTGAGAAAAGAGAGGTTTCCTATGTCTGGAGGGATGCTACCTTGAAGGCCTAAATAAGAGAGATTCAAGGAGACAACTCTATGGTGGCGAGAGAAGCAGGTCACTCCAAACCAGTTGCACACTGAGACATTTGCAGTCCAATTTGTCCTCAGTAAATTCTTAGAATCGAACAGCTGGGATTTTAAGGCAAACAATGCTGATTGATCTGTTTGGATGCTACGTTTGATGAGGGCTATCGAAACAGTAGGAAGACTTAGCAGCAATGCAAGATGAAAAAGGACGGTAATTATATCCATGAGGAAAAGGGAGGGGGGAGTTGCAGCGGAAACCAGTAAAGACGAGGTTTGTGAAACTGAAGATGAAACAAGCAGGCAAGATGACTCACTATTTATAGTTTTTGAGTCTCTTTGTCTAGGAAACGGGGCTCACAAGCTCTATCCAATTAATTTTGGTGTAAATTCGCATAGTTTGAGTATGAATTAGAATTTGTAAACTCATATCATAATATAAATTCATAATTATATTGATAGGTTGCAATTTTATCATTTATTTTATTATTAATTCTCCCTATTACTTGACCTGATGTGAATTAATTATTAGATTCTACTCACTTTTCGTAATTTATATTTATTTCAGGGAGTAGAACAAAAATATCACAATAAAAGCCAATTTGACAGTTATCGGGAAAGAGTTCACATAACAAACAATCGAGGGTATTTTTGGAATAAGGAGATACAAGTCTTTGTTGGTAATTCGCACGGGGCAGCATTAAAAGGAGGAACGCAGGGCTGAAGCAAGGGGTCTTCTTCTTCCCCATGAGAGGGCCGCCGCACAAGACCAGAGAGTAGCAATAGGCCATTAGGATAGGAACTATTAGATTGCAGAGAACAAGCACTTTCTTTTTCTAGCTTCACTTTGACTTTTCTTCCTAGCTTTCCATTGCTTTTCTCCACGCATGTTAGGAGGAAGCAATTTTTAGTTTTAGCGTTTGACTTTTCCATTTCGTCTTCTTGTGGTTCTCTAGTCCGTATGTGAAGACCAAGTGAAAACGTTGAATTCCTTCCTGTAGCTTGTCTTCGTGTTATTTCCTTTTTACCGATTTTTTGGAGAAAAAACAATGAAAAAAGCTTGGAACAATTATTTGCATGGTTGTTCTCCATTAATGGAGGACTAACCTCCTACTTCTAGTCAATGGGACAACTGACGAATTGGCTCGGCAATTACTGTGAGATCTAAACCGCTTTTAATTGTTTCCTTCATTTATTGGTATTTATATGTTTCCTGCTTTTAATTGCTATAGCTCGTGTGAGTGATTGAATAGATGCGCAATATTTAATTATTCACGTAGGCTATTTTGCTAAATAGAGGTAATTGAATCCGTAATTGTTCGTTATCTCTATCTTAGTAGCAACTGGCGTAATTGGATTTATGTCAGGGGAGCATACGATCTAATTTAAACAAACCCTCGTAGCGTGTTTGTTAGTTAGGATTGGGCCTTTCTAATTATTAATGCAATCTAGAAATTAAATCCTACGGTCGTACCTAGGGTTGTTTTTGGGTTAGAGAAATAGCTAACGGTCGTACCTTAGCTATCGATAAATTAAGGAAGGGCTGGTTGTTTAGCGCGTGCGAGACAACTATAACCAATCTATTAATATTTGTTGGAATTATCTGTGAATCGATGATCAGTTGCATGAACCATTTCTGAAGTGTACCCTTGGCTAGAATTTCTCTTAGTTATTCCTTTTAATTAATTATTTTCTGCATTTAGTTTGTTTAGTTGGCATTTGACACCAAAACCCCCCATTAATCTTGATTTGAAAAGAAACAAATTATCTTGCTAGTCCCTGAGAAGACGACCCTGCTTACCATTGTCTACTAGTTAGGGAATTCAGTTAAATAATTTATTCAGGTATATCGGATTAAGCAAACTCTTCGGGAACATGGTGAATCAAGTAACCCATTGCACACCTAGAGTCCCTGCTCCAGTACTCGAATTGATTATTGACTGTTTTAAGTGGTAGTTAGGTTTTATTTATTATTATTGCACAGGTTCGGCACCTGTCATATATCAAAACTGTAAAAATTTGTATTCAATGTAATAAAAAAATAAAAAAGCATACGAATGGATTTGGACTAAGATACCACTCAACTATTGAGACCCCGAGTCCCTTTGTCTAAAATCAGTGGCTGTTAAAGATGGTCCAATGTGCAAGAAATTTGAGGAGTAAACTATTTTCATTTACTAAAACAAAGGATTTCTACACTGATCAGTGATCAGATACTTGCACAGGGAAATTTCGGTGATAAAAACAGATTGTTAATTATTCAAGTAGTAACTTTCACCAATTTGTGGGGAAGAGCCGCATTCCAACTTTCTAAACACGTAAATGGCTGGAAGTAATAAGGGGCCTCGAGTCAGCCATTATATGTTGAAAATATATTATATTGCAATTTTTCGACATTTGTGGAGTTAGACAAATGACCAAATTTATGGTATTAGGACAAGGTCAGGCATGGAGGCAGGAGGACAAACAGGGCTGCCCCCTGTTCCCAACTTTTGAGAAATTTAAATTAGGATTTTTCTTAATAACACTTTGCCTCCCTTGGTAGGGGGTAAACACAATTTGTCCCCTCAACTGAAACAATATATACTTTGCTCCTCTAGAAAAAGTTAATCATTAGTTTTAGCAACACCACCGTTATGAATATTGATGCAATGATTAAATTGCCCATGTTATAATGATAAATGGGCAACAATGCCTTTCTGTTATTCAAGTAGTACCAGCTTAAGTTTTGGAGTTATATATATCTTTTAAAACTATAGGGGGGTTATATGAAAATTAGCTATACCACAGGGGATATAGTGTAATTTGGCCAATTTCAAAACTTAAGTTTATGTTTAAATTTTATATTAAAATAATTTCATATCATAATAGATTTTGAATTTATGTTTAAATATCATTGACGTACTATTGTCTTTGATGCATAAATGTTAATAAAGTGCTTCCAAATATTTGTTAATAAAATTTTGCCTAGAAGTTCTTATTAATGTCAAATTTATTGATTTCTTACGTAACTCATTTTTGGAAACCTCTTCACATGAAATATCTGCCCTTAGTTTGCTCAAAAACTACCTCCTTTTTACTCACTAGTCCACATTACTAGAAAAATAGGTTCTATTAACACACTTAATAAGGTATTTCTCTGCAAACACAACAATGGAACGTTAGAGTGAACACATCAAGAGACTGATTGCAGCAAATAGGAAGATTTAGAGCAATATTTTGCAACACAAACAGAGAAAAATATTTTAAATGGCACTCCTGTTATTTTGTTTTTATATATTTTACCTTTAGGAGGGGTTTTTTTTTTTTTTTTTTTTTTTCCCAGCCTTTTGCTACATAAAGAGTAAGAAAACTTTGAGGGTAACATCATCATGTCAACCATTCTGATTGCGACATCTGGTATATCATATGGATAGGGGGAGGTAAGTGAGATTTTTTAAATTTTGAAAAGTCTAGATGATATTAGAATAAATCTCAAGGGAGATTTCAGAAATTAATCTTACATTCAAAGAGGAGAAAGAACTATCTTTTTTTAGCAAAAACTCAGGGGGAGAGGGGTCAAGGAAATCTAATGAAATTTTTTAGGGGGCATGGCGAAGAAATTAATGTCAAAATTCTAAAAGTTATATATTATAAAATTTAATTTTCTCAAACCTTAGGGGTGTTGGGGCGGCAGCTCCTGTTGTTCCCTGCCGCCGACCGTGGCAATGGCCTTATATCGTAGTATTACAATTTGGTCATCGCTCTAATTTCAAAAGTATCGGAAAGTTAGATGTTATGCTTATTTTAAGAGGAAATGTTGACTTGATGGCCCCACCCCCATGCCCGGGTCAACTTTCAAGAATCCACGTTTTAAGAAAGTCGAAAGTTTGACACTTCACAAAATCTTACGGAAAGCTACAAGAAGTATACTTCAAAACATGTACTTGTACAAATTTTTTATTGATGAAGTCGCCTATTTTTAAATTGAATTTAAACTTCAAATTTTGCATATATGATATCCATCTATAGTCGCTAGTATATAAATTGTCGATGTATGCAGGATTAATTTTAACGTCGTTAGATATTAAATAGAAAAATTGCTAAAACCACTAAAATTTACGAATTTGTATTTACCACCGGCATTTGCAAGCGCAACTGAAAATCTGATTAGTGTATAAATCCATTATTTTAGTGAATGAAATCTTTTGCTTCTCATATATTTCTTTTGACGTTGGACCATCTTTAGCAGCGCCAGAGTATAGACGAAGTGGCTCCAAAACTACAAATAGTATTGAGGCAGCTGGCTTGTTTGTTCAAGTCTTCGGTTTCACAAACCTTTTCATACTCATTTGCTTCTCAAACTCAAATGTTCACTTCTTAAGGTCATATTTTGGTGTTAAATTGGTTCGCTTCTCAATTTTTTTTTTTTTTTTTTTCACGTTGGACCATTCAATGAGGCTCCAACACTACATATACTACGGCATCTGGCCTGTTTGTTTCGTCATCAGAGTCAAGAACCTCGTCTTTGCTTATTTGCCCTGCAACTTTTCACCTTTTCTCATGGATATTTCTGTCTTCCTTTTTCATCTTGTACTGCTGCTAGGTCTTCCTACTGCTTCGATAGCCCACATCAAACGCACCATCCAAACAGATCAATCAGCATTGTTTGCCTTAAAATCCCAACTGTTCCATTCTTCGAACTTACTGAGGAAAAATTGGACTGCAAATGTATCAGTGTGCAACTGGATTGGAGTGACATGCTCCTCTCGCCACCATAGAGTTGTCTCCTTGAATCTCTCTTACTTAGGCCTTCAAGGTAGCATCCCTCCAGAGATAGGAAACCTCTCTTTTGTCAATTCTATTGACCTCAGTGGCAACAATTTCCAGGGAAATTTGCCCATGCTGGTGCACTTACGCAGGCTTAAATATATTAGTCTTGCCAACAACAATTTTGGGGGAGAGGTTCCTTCGGGGTTCGGTTCTCTGCCTAACCTTCAAGCCCTGGATTTGTCAAATAACAGCTTCACAGGTGCCATTCCGACTTCCCTATTCAATGCATCAAAGTTGGAGTCCATAAGTTTCATGTCCAATCAATTGCAAGGAAATATTCCCCAAGAAATCGGTAATCTAGGAAACTTGAAAGTCTTAAGCATGGCAAATAACCAGCTTACAGGGCTTATACCACTAACACTTTTCAACATCTCGTCCCTGCAAATAGTCAATTTGAGAAATAACACGTTATCTGGCGACCTTCCGGTGAACTTGTGCTCTAAGCTTTCAAGACTGCATGGATATTACCTAGCCTATAACACATTATCAGGCCAAATTCTGTCGCGGTTTGACAACTGCTCAGAACTGGAAGAACTGTCGTTGAACGACAATGACTTGAATGGAACACTACCAAGAGAGATTGGAAACTTAACCATGCTAAAGCTTTTGAGTTTGGGTCAGAACAAATTCGCAGGTAACCTTTTTTTTTTTTTCCCTTTTGTTTTCTTGAGTCTGAGCGTATATGTTTGGATTTATCTATTAGGTGACTTTGATTTTGTGCTCATCAGGTTTCCATATAGTATTAATTATGCCCTCCAAAATTACCTCACAATTTTTTTTATTTGCTCAAACAAATATATCATTGCTATTACTTCATTTTGTTAGGTTCATGAAATTTTGATCGAAAGAAAAGCATTTACATTTCAAAATTCAAAAGAAGCAGAGAGAGAGGGACAATAAAAAAAAAAAAAAAAAAAAAACATCCATCATTGCCTTTGGATATTTCAGTTTATTCATTTTGTCATGCACTCACATACACACGAATATCTTTTACATTAGCACTCTCCTAAAATGGTTTGTGTAGGAAAATAATTTAACCAAGTTTTATGGTACTCCTCTGTCCCATATATTTAGTCATGTTTGGGTATATGTGCTTTTTATGCCTAGTACACTCTACCGCA